CCCCTCCCTGTCCACTGCACACCTAGAATAAATGGACAACTTGATAAGGACCAATCAGTCTTCTCAAAAGCAGTGCAAAGTTGTTGTGTGTATCCAAGATGGTGGTGTCGATAGGGCTGTGCGTGAGTCCACTAAGCACACAACCACACCTTGGATTCTGCTGCAGATTCCACCTCCCCATGGGCTGCCTCTGGAGAGGAATCAGATGGGAAACACCAAGGAGTTAAGGAGTTCAGAAGACAACCACAACATTGGCTGGTAGAAAAGATCAAAAGGAACATCTGGCCAGGTCTGAAGAAGTTACAATGACTGTCCTTTCCTTTCTGGACATTGGAAGCAGGGTGCCTGAAGGATCAGCCACCTGCTCTCAACCCCTAACCAACAGCTAAGAACCCCTTCAGAGGCATGAAGTTGTGCGCCTCTCCTTTCAAAGGGAAAATGGGTGGCTACCTTTAGACGGCCTTCTTGGTCCTGGCACATTGTCTTTGGAGTTCCTTCCCCACAGTTGGGCATCTGGCAACAAATCTGAGGAGCTTTAGGAACCAGTCAAAAATATGTCTTTCCCAGGCATTTATGGAATGTCAGGGGAAGGCTTAATTGTGACTTGTTTTTGTGGGGTTTTTGTTTTGTTTGGGGTTTTTAAGATACCTTTTATTCTGGACAATTTTACACAGTTCTTTGTTAAATATTCTTGTTACTGCTGCATTTATCTTGTTAGATTATTATATGTGATTTCTTAAGGTGTTGTGAATTTCTTAAACGGAGAGTGTGGCCTAAAAAAAATCAAATCAATGTTTGACTTGGCCTGCTCCAACAGGTTCCCGCAACTGGCCCTTTCCCTATTGCCTAGCCTCCTTCAGCTGCTATTCATCTCCATTTCCTTTGCAAAGGCCATTGAAATCCCCTCCTCAGCCAGTCCGTATGATTGGATGGATATCACAAGCAGGTCTGCTGGACCAAGGATGAACTGTGTGTGCACATCATGGTTCTGTGGAAGTGCAGAATATGGTACTGAGCACAGAACTGAGCTTCCTGAGAAACAAAGCTTTTTAAAAACACCAGGTTTCTAGCCCTCATGACTGACTGCAAGGTTATCCTTGAAAGGGCATGAGGCAATGCCTGTTAAAATCTCCAAAGCTACAGATGTGGTGGAAGAAGATTTCCTGCAGCTGAATGTTGGGCATTAATGCCCTCCAGAACACCATGATAAGGACAACCAGGATACATTAAATAGCATCAGTTTGCAGGCTAAACAGCACATAACTGGAAAATGATGCCTGCTTGCGCTCTCACGATCTCTCTCTCTCCCCTTAGGCTTCTATACCGACCTCCCCACAAGCAGGCTCAGGGCAGTGCACAACAAAATTCATTAAAATACAAATGATACACAGTCGAAAATCCCAATCCATAAAACCAAACATCTGCATGGTGCCATAACCTAAATTCCTAACTCCCTCAATTTACATCAGCATGGGTGAAAGGGGTGAAAAGCAGTTAAAAGCCAGGTAGATGTTAAAACCACTAAGAATTGTTAAAGACCATTAAAAAACCATTGCTGTCCTCAACCATATGCTTGGCAGAACACCTCTGCCTTGCAGGCCGTTCGGAATTCTGACAGATCCCGCAGGGCCTTGATGTTAGTAGGCAGAGAGTTCCTCCAAGTCAGATCCAGGACTGAGAAGGCCCTGGCTCTGGTTGAGGACAGCCGGACGCTCCTTGGGCCAGGGACTTCCAGTAGGTGTTGGTCTCTTGAGTGTAATGCTCTCCAGGGGACATACCAGGAGAGGTGGTCCCGTAGGTCACAGAATTTGAATTGTCCTGGCAGAAAACTTTAAATGTTTGCGTATGAAGTACACACAGTTCTGATCAGGTTGTTCTTTTTTTTGAAGGGCTTGGAAGATCCACACACTCACAGTCACATAGATCTCACAGATGACCTCTGTGTCTCTTTTCATGCCATATTCAGTGGAAGCACCTCTACCAGAGTATATTCTTATTGGGAAAATTTCCTTAATTTCTGACCTGTTCAGCTGGTTCTGCAGCATCAGGGCAAGTTTCAGCCAAAGTTCAGCACTCTGAAGTCCCATTGATCACAATGGAAAAATGAATCCCATGCTCAAGACCTTGCTTCCTGAAATCAGTGGGACCGATTCCACAGAAGCAGTTGTTCCACCCTCAGTATGCCATTTTCCCCGGTTGTACTGCTCAGTTTCCCACTATTTGCTGTGCGGCCGCATTTTGACCCGCATCTCCCCCCGATTTCCCCCGCGTCTTCTTGATCCTTATATTTTGCGGAATCGGTCAGTGTGTTTATTTCAAGTATTCATGTGCTGCTCATCTGTAGTCAATGATCAAACAGTTGTGTTGATAAATATTAAAAAGGACCCTGGTGGGAGCTTGGAAACAGAGTGGGGTCAAAGTAGGTTCAGCTGCAGAACTTGGGTGGGAGGAAGGAAGGGTGGAGGTGGTGGAAATTGGGATGGATGAAGCAGAAAAAGGAAAAAGCCAAGAAAAGAGGATGGGGGGGGGCTCACGTAGGGCCAAGAGATGGGAGGAAGCTGCAGACAAAAAGGCTTTGGTGACAAAGGGGATATGGGGTGGGGAGGGGAGCTGGGGCTTCCAAACTGGATTTTCCACTTTGCAGCCTGGGTGGGCCTTGGGCTGTTATCTTCCTGGGCATATTGTTGCAGATCTGAAAGTCACTGTTCTACAGGGGAAAAACCTGCAAATAGACTGTATACCACCAAAGTGCTAGACTAGAAGTCATTAAGAAATTAAACATCTTCTGTTGTCCTGGCTTAAACTGAGATTTGGAATTCCTAACTCATTCTAATTTCTAATAATTTCTAGTAACACTCTTTTAAATGACTTCAATAGACTGTTCTTATCATGTTGCATTATACCATAACCATATACTGAAAGCTGGTCAATTTTCCCATGCTTCAAACTGCTCCTTAAATAGTTTGCTATTTACCCTACTTTATTGCCCTTTTTCTTCATTGCATATGAGAGAGGCTAGAACCTCTGACCTCTCCCATCAGACCTTAATCTACCCAAGCAATTCAAGTTCCCACAAAGAGAATCTCACCTGATTTATTATATTGGGTTTCTCTCTGCTTAACTTGTTACTTTCCTGCCCCCCTTTCCTTTCTGTAACTATCCGTTTCTGCAATTCCTGCAGGTTTCTGTCTTGCGACAGTATCTATAGAACTGAGTCCTGTCTCATGAAAACTCATACTGAAATAAATGTTGTTAGTCTTTAAGGTGCCACTGGACCTCTGTTTTGTTTTGCGTACTCTTCTGCGAGTCTGTGTCAGACTTTCCACAAAAGACGCCCAAGGACAACGAGCAATGAAAGCCTGCAGGTGGCGCTGCAGCTCCTAGCAAGAGCCGTAGCTGCCTGCCACTAACGTGAGTAATTAACAAAACAGCTGCCTTTAGACTATTGCTCTCCGCCTACTCTTGCCAAGCAGCCTCCTATCCACAACCACTTAAAGCTGAAAGACTCAGACTCAGTGTTAATGCAATTCCGGACTTCTTCAAACAAGAACTTCTCTCACCTAATGCTGGAATCTGAGCCTGTAACTTCTCTGCCACTGGATTACTTTTTCGAACTCCCAGACATCCCCTAGGGAGACAGACCGTGGAAATTCTCAGGCACCCCCCTAAGCATAAATGAGAACTTGCCATTGACCCCTCCCCATGAATGTGGGAGACTAGGACAAGAGTCATGAGATTCACAAAAGGATTTTTCTCTTGGAATTAATATGCGATCGTTGCCTCCTTAAAGGAGAAACAGTAATAGTCATTTTCCAGCAATTGAACTAAATTTCCAGCAAGCTAGACTCTTTAAAACAGGGTTTTTTGTGTGTGCTGTCTCAAAAACGTCTCCCTTTAACCCCCTCTATTTCTGAGCATACACAATGTATTAAACTGAAGGAGGCTGCATCTGATACCATAGAGCACCAAGAAAGATTCGGCCCCTCAGGGGTGCCAATAAGGTCTGGGGTCCAGAATTGGCCCATCCAGGGCTCTTACTGGTATGAGGGAGGTAAGCAGGAGGCTGCTGGTGTGTGAGCAGGCCAACCCCATAGCCAGGAATTTTTCTAGGGGGCTCCAGGGTGCGGGGGGGTTGCTAATGAAATTAAAAGTAAACATTACATTAAAAGTGCAGTAAACATTACATTAAATTTAAGTAACAAATTTAAAGAGCAGGCGAGGAGTCACCAGAAGGAAGGAGAGTTACAGAAATAGTTTTGGGCTGGCACAGTGGTGCAGCACGGCTCAAGCTCTCCATCCGCTCCCCTCCCAGCCCTCTGTAGTCCTTCGGGAATAAGAGCCTTCAGTTCAACAATCCCCAAAGAAGAACTCCACTGCTGCAGAAGAACTTGTCAGATTCCTCTGTTTTAAGGCGGAGGGGCTAAAATCTGCTCTCAGAAAATGTGCTTAGAGCAGATCCTCCTTCCTACTGCTCGCCTGATGGTCCCTTTAAAATACAGCAGGCAACAAAGGGAGATGACTCTTGCAGGCCACTGTAGAAGAGGGGAGGGGATGGAGAGCTTGAGCCGCACTGTGCCGCCACACCAGCCCAAAGCTATTTCTGTAACCCTCCTTACTCATCGGGTCTTCCTGCTGCTGGGACTCTGCATAATTGACAGGGGCAGGCCTCGGTTCCTGCTGGAGCGCACCGGAGCACCGCTCCGCCAGTCAGAAGCCCAGGGGGCGGCCACATAAGCCCCGTCCCCTGCTCCCACCAG